TTTTTTTATTATATAATCTCTCTGTTTACCAAGTAATTATGTATTGCAATTGTCTCAAATTTTTAATTAGTTGAACTCTACACGAAGCAATCAAATTGTATAAATCTGGCTGGTGGTATGCCAAATGCCGTCACGTTTCCCTTCAATGATATTTCTATGACAATTAAATATGACATCCCAATAAAACTTAATGAACATGAAATATCCACAGCTTTACAATATGCACCTGCACAAGGGTGAGTAATATTAATAAATAAATATATATATATATAATATATATATATAATTATATATATATATATATATAATATAATATAAAATATATATAATATATATAATATATATAATATATATAATATAAAATTAAAAATTAATTATTAATTATGATTTTATTATTTTAATCTAATAAATTTATTTTTGAGTTAATATAATATTTTTTTCGTATCTTAATTCAATAATATAATTATAAATCTCGTATTATTTGTAATATAATGCAAGCATTTTCATTCTTTAATTAATAAAAATATAAACATTTTCATAAATTAATTCATCTACACATATTATTTTAATATATTTGGATTGTATATTTATTTTGCCAAAGTTATGGGCCATTATTAGAAAAATGGAGGGAATTCCTGAAAACATGGCATACACCAAGACATAATGATTGGAATATTGCATTTACGAATGGTTCTATGGATGGTTGCAGTAAAATCTTTGAAATGATGATCGATGAGAATGATCCAGTTATGCTTCAAGTGCCAACATATACGGGAATAATCGGAGCGGTTTGTTATTTTAAAAAAATAGAAGAGTAATAAACGCATAATAAAAAAATTCTAAAAATATAAATCTTATATAAGTTAGAAAGCACAAGGATTAATTTAATAAATATAAAATTTATTTTAATATATTTAATATATTTTACATTAAATATTGAAATAAATTAATTAATTTGCAACTATATTTAATATAATATCGCGATTTTATATGGCATGTACATTTGATGTATTTAAAGGAAAAATAAAATGCGTTTTGTTTTATATAAAAAAGATGTCAATAAATTTTCTAAAAATAATTTTTGAAAAATGTTCTCTTTTTTATTCGTAGTTGGCACCGTTATTACCAGATTTAATAGAGATTCATCAAGATGATGATGGATTAATTCCCGAAGAAATTAGCAAAGAATGTGAACGAAGACTTAAGGATAATAAACCAATGCCAAAAGTAAGTCAGAAAATTACAGTACCAAAATTATTGTACCAAATGCTCTCCTGTTGTGCAAGAAATAACGAGGAAGCAATTATTTATTTTCATTTTTTAATTTTTAATCAAAATTTTTTATTTTTAATTCAAATATTTTTAACAATATAAATTCGGCAGTTTTAGTTAAAAATTCAAAAAAGTTAAAAAACAAAAATAGCTTAAACATATAAGAAACTTACATAAACATGCAAATATTACTTTTTTACAATCTAGAAAAATAAGATCCATAATCAATTATCCCTTTAAGATCTTTGAAGTTTTAAAGTTAATTTATTTATTTAATTGACGCTTTCATTTTATATTTATTTTTAATTATGTATGATTTTTATTTTATTTATCTTTTTTAATGACTGTCACTAAAACTGTTTTTTTTTATCAGAAAGATATGCAAAGTTTTTGAATTTTTCAGTTACTTTACATTAATCCGACAGGATCAAATCCTACAGGCGCCGTCTTGTCGGAAATCCGACGAAGGAAAGTGTACGAATTGGCGCAGAAATACAACTTCCTGATTGTTGAAGATGATCCTTATTGCTTCATTCATTTTCTGGATAAACAGCCTACATCATTTTTCTCTCTCGATACTGATGGTCGTGTGATTAGACTAGATTCATTTACTAAGATTATGAGTGCTGGAATTCGCATCGGTGTGATGACAGCTCACAAAGATATTATAGACAAGTTGCTTCTTCACATAGGAAACTCTACTCTTCAGGCGTCATCCTTATCTCAAGTAAAAATTAGCTTTCTTTTAAAAAGATATGTTACAATAATATTTTCAAATACCGGTCCTTTTACATTTTTGGAAAAATTAATATCTTAGGAGCTTCTAAAAGATTTTAATGAAATTCAAAGTATTTCTCGAATTGTGTAAGTTATAGTGAAAGCGTGGCCAATCGCTTTAAAATAACCTTTAGTTTTATGTGTTTAGGTTACAAAAATTCCTTCGACTATGTTGTCTATCGTGTTTATTTCATTGCTCAGAAAGAACACTTTTGCTGGCAAATCTAAAAATTTGACCAGATACAGATCTGAAAATAATTTTGTTGACCCATCAAAATTATTTTGTAGACCACTTAAATATAATGATTAATACTGCAAAAATGTTTAATCTTCTAACAATCAATTTGAACATCATATATAATAATTTTGAATGCCCAACAAAATTATTTTCAGATCTGTATCTAGCCAAATTTTTAGATTTGCCAGCAAAAGTGTTCTTTCCGTGTGATAGGTTCACTATGATAAACTAATTAACTCAATTGATAAATAATTAATATTAAAATTAATATTAAATAATTAATATTAAAATTAATATTAAAATAAGTTTGTCTTCCTCACTTCGCTTTTTCACAAATCACTTTTTTTTCAATTGACGAAATTTATAACTAAAATAATTTTTATGATTAATTGACTTCAAGATTTAACAATAATTTTATAAAGTGTTTTATAATAGTTAGTTAAAGTGTTTTATAATAGTTTTAGTTAATGGTAGAGTTTTTTTTAATTCTTAGTTTCTGAGAACAAAATGTTTTGAAAATATCAAAGTCTAATAAAATTTTGAATTTTTTCAAACCGCCATCTTATGAAAAAGAATTATTTTAAAAAATTCCTACGCTTAATTAAAACTACTAATTCATATAGTTTCGGAATTTTAAAAAATTTTTATTTTTAATAATTACAACTTGAATTTTTTACATCGCCGATGAATTATGTTTTTTAAACCCAGGAATCTACAATACTGTACAATGTTATTATATACATGCATATATTATTATACTTTTACAAAAATTCTTAAAATACTTTTAGTCTTCCTAATCGATAATTAATATTTTTTTAAACTTATTTAAAGCTATTTAAATTTTTAAAAATCCTCCAAAAGTGGTGGTTTTCCTTTCCTTTCAAATCTTTACTATATCATATCCTCTTAGTATTATTTATTTAATTGCAAATAATCCTAATAGTAATTTCTTTTACGTAATGCGTAAATAGCAAAATAATTATAAATATAGTTAAATAAGTTACGTTATCTAACTTATCTTATTTTTTCAAACATTCTTTTACCTTATCTTAAATTTCTATAGTTTTAAATTCTTATTTTCTGTTGTATTTAAGCAACTGAATTTCTCAACAATAGATAATAATTACAATATTTATTTATATTTATTTATTAATGAATAGTAATTAATCATTATTACAGTAATTAATTATTATTTTGTTATTAACGTAGATACAAATTTATGAATAAAATGATTTTGTTAAATATACGCTAAAAAGTTACCTACAATATAATCTCTTTTAGATGTTTCTTTATAAACTGTTCGAAAATTGGAAACCGCAACAATTTGAGCAGCATTTCAAAGATATTCAAAAGTTTTACTGGGAGCGACGTGACATGATGCTGGCCATGGTTGAGAAACATTTAAAAGGTATGCTACAAATTAATTTTATAATTTTTACATTTTCAGAGATTTAAAAACATTTTGTAAAAATATTTATTAAGTAAAAGTATAAATTAATTCCAAAATATATAATTTTATTTAACTTTAATCATCTTGGCGATAAAAAACAATATTTCTTTTTATTATTTATCGTTACATTAATTGTACATTTCAATTACTAAGATAGTTCTTGAACACTCTATGAACACTCTGAATATTCTTCAAACAAAATTTTATTTAAAGAAGATTAACCTAAAAACAAGGAATATAATTTTGTAATCTAATTTGTAATCTAATTTGTTTTTTAAAGCTTTGTTCGAAGTTCTGTATTTTAATTTATTTAAAGTATCAAAAGAATCAATTTTATACTTACTAAATAAATCTATAAAAAAATTGTTTTCAAATACTTTGCATATTTTAATTTCTATTTACCTAAATTCTAAAAGCAATTTAGTAATTCTTATACAAAATCTGTTAGGTTTGGCAGAATGGTATCCACCGCAAGGTGGATTTTTCTTTGGATTAAAGTAACAGCCGTGGATAACATATATGATTTAGTAATCAACAAATGCGTGCCTCAAGGTGTCTGTATTGTTCCTGGAAATGCTTTCAATTATGATCCTTCAAAACACGATTGTCACGTGAGGCTTAGCTATAGTTATTCTTCATTAGAAGAAATAGACAAGGTAGATTTAAATTTTTATTTTAAATATTTATATACATATCACAAAAAAGTGCATCAACACAAATTTAAAAATTTTAGTTACAACTCTATATAAAATAATTATATAAATTATATTTTTATATAATATTTTAAAATTGTAAAAGAACATCAATATAAAGACAAAAACGTAAATATTTTAATAACTGACATTTCTTTCTTTCTTATTTTAATAATATAAAAATATATCAACTATATGTGCGTTATCAACTATATATGTGTGTGCATACATTTTTAATTAAAAGTATGTTTAAAAGAAATTAATTGTATTTTATTGCAGGGATTATCTATACTGGCCAAAATAATACGTGAAGAAATACCAAAAAAAATAATATTAAAACATAAGAATTATCATGAGTAATGTACAGAGTGGAGATCAATCGTTCGGGAGATGATTGAGAATCCAAAAATAAAAGAAAAGAATTTGATATAAATATATATGGATATATATATATATCCTGGATAATCTTAGCATATTAAAGCAAACTTTTATTTGACTTTAATTATGTAATAAAACTCATAACTATAAAACTCATAAACCATCTCTTCTTTGAACTTTGACAAAATTCAAAAGCAAACCAATTTGAAATTTTAACATAAAAATTACAACAAATGGCAACAATTTGAAAACAATATATTTCTGGACATATGTTCAACTTTTTTTCTTGTTTTTGGGTTTTCATTCATCTCTCGAGATTAAGTTTGACTTACAGAATATATATATATATATACGGATTTACATCTTATATATATTATTTTTGAAATTATTATTTTTTATCAAATAATTTTATTATAAAATACATTTTGTGAGAAAGGAATAATAATATATTAATTTTATTATAATTGAATTTATTATTCTTATTTTATATTATCTTGATATTAGGTATCCAAAACTAAATTAAAAAAAATATGTAATTAAAAAAATACCCAATACTCTTAAAATAAATCTAATATTTGCGTTGGAGAAATTAAAGGAAATTAGTAAATATAAAACTATCCACATTAAATATCTCACAAATACTTATATTTCTTTATATTTTGCATATTTATATTGCTTATCATTTTATTAAAAATTAATAAATAAAAATTATTTATACATATTTATATATATACTTCATATCGAACCATCTACAACGAAGACGAGTATGAAGCGATCGATAAATTACTGACGAATGTCTTCAAGTATAATTTAGTATTTAAATAACCTTAAGTAGATTTAATTATTTAATTATTTTATATTCTTTGCTTATCTATTGACCAAATATTATTAAAAATTAACAATAGTTTGCGTAATTTAAAAATTATTAATCCATAATAAAAAATATGTTAAACTCATATGATAAATACAGAAATGTAATTTCACATAAAAGTGTATAATATTATTTTGTAGATTTGTATATATTTTTATAACATAACGAAATAGCAAATTATAAGACAGTTATGAACTAACATTCAAATATTTTTTGTCAAAGAAATAAAACATAGTCGGTAATATCAGCATTCTTCTCCCAGATATCTTTACTCAGAGCTGGAGGTCTCTAACCCCGAGAACATAATATCGATTTGTAAACCTATTTATATTTAAAAATATATTCTTCTTGATATATCTATCGATTCTTTAACTTTAATAATTAATTATTCTACAGACATGTTTTTTTCTTTTTATGAAAGTATTTTCTTCTTTTATCGATTTTTTCCATTTACATTTTTTTAAGAATAAACTCAAACTTTTATCACTCAACTATCTTTTAAATAATTAAATGATTCATTTAGCAGTTCATTAAATCAATATTACTTCAAAAGAGAAAACTAATCATATTAACTCTGAAAATGGTATCTCAACGATGGCTCATAATACAGTCTGGCTCGAAGGATAAAATAGCAACATTATGTTATCAGTTTATCAGCGATCCGTAATTTAAACGTTACAATGTATAATTTGTAATGATACTATATTAATAATAATAATATTTGTTATGATAAAGCATGATTTTTCATTAAGTGCTTTCTTTTATACAATTTCATATAATTTTATTGAAAATTTATAAATTTTCAATAAGAAAGATGTATTTTAAATCATTTTGCATTAAATATTATAAACATTATATTATTACAGTTCATAAAATTAAAGTTATTCTTTCATTTTTTTACCAAATTCGATTATATTATAAACCAAGAAATCTTCACTCACGGGAAAACGATAATATCGATGAGAGATGTCGCTTTAGTCAAAATTGCTTGTCAAAAATTTGATGTTCAGTAAACGTGCAAGTCTTTCTATAACAAAGATTAAGCGAAATAATGTACTAAAAAAAAGACAAGGCTGTAGTACAGTAATAGTTCAACACTCTTATCTCTGTCATCTTCTTTTTCATCTATCAGAGAAAAGGATGCACCTTGCTGCGGCAGGAACAGATCTATTATGTTTAATTAAGTAGATAACAGCAGAAATTAATTAAAACGATCTCACAGCGGTGACATTAGTTGCCTCGATACTTGTTCTACCTCCGCGCGCGATTGTTCTCGGGTCAACGCGCACCGACCACCGCTACCACGCTCTCCCGAGAGCGACAAATTACGAAGTTATCCCCTCTCTCCCTCGGACGCGACACTTATAGAGAATTAATAGCGGCTTTTATTGCGAGTTCTCGAAGTAACTGGCGGAATTGCCAAAAAAGTTTAAGTCGATCTATGTCGACGGCGACGCAGGCGCAAACGTGTCGTTTCCATGGCGCCGATGCTATACAGTTAGGTAATGTTGGATTAGACACTACGCCGTTTTCCAACCCTCTCCGGGTAACGTTCAGTACACCCTAAACCATCGTCGCGGTTAGAGGATCTCTTCCATCTCCATACCCGCACACGTGCATGTAGACACACGCAGGCACGAACCGTACGCATATTATACGCACCTATACATACGTACGTACACGCACGTACGGTGTACCATACGCATGCACCAACGTCCACCCACGCACCTGAGGGAAAACGCGTGGCTATTTACCTCCCTGTTTACGATACGGTCCCTCCGGCCTGTGTATCCGTTAGCTCATTTGTTTATTCAATCGCCTATTCTGCCCTGCTCTTCCGATCCGCCAGTGATTTCCATTCATTCGCGTACATACGCGTGTCTCCCTTCGGTGGTGTTCATTTATCGTCGTGTCCGTTCAGTACCCTTCGTACGCTATAATAATAGTGAAGTTCAGAATGTATGAATAATCTCATGTTGATTTATGTATATGCCACAGCTTTTTTAATCATATTCCCGCGTCACGTACGAAGTCACAGTCTCGCTCGAATCCAGCCGATTGAGTATTTTTGCCCTTCGCGAGGTGCGCTTCGACATCACCACCACCGGCGTGGACCCTAAAATCCAGGCTGCGTGCACGTAATCCAGCACAGTGTCGTGGGACGAAAGTGGCGGGTGGTGTGTTTACTGCGGTGGCGGCGAGGGTATTATCCTGACGAAACTAAAACTAGTCAGGTCAGTAACACGGGGTGAGTCGAGTTGCTTGGACTTTTCGTAGTGCACCTACATATCTGATTGTTTTTAATTTTAAATGCTGTAAATAAAAATTAAATGTATTTGGTAAACAATATGAATAATTTCATATATATCTCAAATAATATTTTGAGTTATTTTTTTTTATGTGCGTATAAATATTCCATAAATTTTAAAATATTCTCCGATAACTATAGCATTTTAGAAAATTTTAGTTTCACATTATTGAAAATATGAAAATTTCAATGTTATTTAAATCATTTTATTTATTTAAATTTAATCGTTTCATTATTTTTAGAATTTTAAATGCAATTTTTTAAATATATTTTTATTTCTTTCTCTTAGTTCGTAAAAAAATCTTGTCATACTTTATGAGATATAAATGTGTAAAATGGAAAATATTACTAGAAATTATATAAATAATGTTTATTTACATTTTATTTTGTAAATTATAAAATTACTTTTAGCCATAAAAAGAAAAGACAGAAAGAAATATAACTTTTATAATACATATAATATCACACGTAATGTGTACACATAACAAATATTTACATTAGATATTACTCGTTCCATTATTAGTACGTGACAAGAACGTATTATAAAATTTAATTAATTAAGTTATATGAATATCGTTTTTAATTAAAACGATATATACATGTATCCAATTTTATTCCTATGTTTCAGCAATAACAAAAATGCCATTATTTTATTTTAACTTCCGAAAACGGAAATAAATACGGAAATAAATATGAATAAAATACGAATAACGAATCGAATATAATTACAAGTTACAAGTGCGTACTAATGGTTTTACTAATGGTGCGTACTTAATTAGTGATAAATCGTTCGATGCACTCGTATCCTACATGTGCAGGCGTCATCGCGTGAAAACACGGCGGTTTTTTTTCTCGCCCTAGATTTTCGACGTGACGCGCACCGTGACGGGGGAAACGCGAGAACGTGCGTCCCCGGCCACATTTACAGAAACATTAGAGAAATAATCGATACACGACAGGTCGCTATGACAAAAATAGACGAATGTTCGTAATGCATCCGCATAGAGATAAATACATTCCGCTGCCGCCGTGTGCGCCGGCTATGTACAGAGTGGTAGATAGGGTAGGCATATGCGCGTATAGGGGTGCGTGACGCGCGACACGGTGGGGTCGCGCAGGCGCTACCTGTAGACTCCGCGGAATACGTGATGATAAATACTAAATTTAACCCCGGGTGAAACGGCGCGACGTCAGGCTATCCGGATCGATAACACTTTTCTGGCGTCTCCTTTTCTTTTTTTATCGGCGAAACGTGACTTCGCGTATGTAGGGCGTTTATGTATATAAATCGTTGACCGCAGAGGTCGGCGGAGGCGCGTACCCCATTCGTGTGATACATCCGATACATATCGTGTGACAAAGCCTTTATTAAAATTCCGTGACGCTTAAAATTCCGCTATCAGACCGAGACAAAAATTTGCACTATGACTATGGGAGACACAGCGAGGAATGTTAACTATGTAGATATTTGTTATAAAAAAATTAAGGCTTCAAATTTTGATAGGATTTTTATAAGTAAAATAATCTTTTTTAATTAATTAATGTCGAAAATGTTTGTATTTGTTTTATGGTAATTGAAGTTTGTACTACTATTTCATAATTGTGGTACATAATTTTAGACAGATATATCAGAATTAAACGTGAAATATTTCAGAATCGACGGAATAAATAAAGTTATAATTTATACTGTATAAGTTAATTAATTAACTCTCAATTATGCTTTATGAATACTTTACTATAAATTGAACGTTGAAACTATCATGATTTATTATTTATGCATAGGAATATATTAATTTCTACTCTTTCTCATATAAAATTAATAACTTATACAACATCGGGAAAAATTCTGTCTTATTTAAAATACTTATTTAAATATAGAAAATCACTCGTTATAAATAATCAATTTATTTGATTTATTGAAAAAGACAATTATTGCACTTTTACATTACATCTTTAGGTATTCATCAATTCATATAGGCGTAATAATGTGTGCGAGTATTAATAAATATTATTTATCTGATTACAACACACATACTCATTTATACATTAGTGAAATTCTATAAACGTCATTAAAAGCTAGATGTATACATTATTTGATGATACATTATTTGATGATAAATTCATTTATTTGTGTAACTGTAACAGAATATATAATCGACCTTTTATGCACCTATATTGCGCTTTGTATCTATGAAATGTATTTTGAAATATCAATATATTTCCGCTTATTCCATATTCCCATATATGTGTCATTTCACGTATGAGAGATTACTAATATAATTTCTACGAACGTAATTAAGCAATGTACATCATCCACGAAAATTCGAGGATAATCCATCCATCAAAAGCAGTAATATTCAGTCCAAGATAAAATATACATTTCGCGTATACATTTGCGTTTCATACTCTTCTTCTTCGAATACAATGATCATAGGATACGACAGAAAACATTATTCTATTTATTTAAGCGAGAAAAAAGCGTCGGATTGACCGGAGAATTTTCTCAAATGCAAAAGATTACATCCATTTGCATTTGAATCAGTAAAAAGGAAGTAGAATGCTACCTAATGCTAATTTAAAAAAGATAGTCTCACTTTTCCCATTGTGTTACCTCAATCAACAGTCAGAAAGATAAAAGCAAAGGTAATTTAAACTACCTTTTTAAGAACTCAAACATATTAACTTAAATTTAATTTTTTTTTAAGTATTTTCTTCTGAATATTAAAAATACTGATTTCTTTCCTGTATTTTCACATATTTTTGCCTTTAAGAAATCATGTCTTGGTTTTTTAATTATTTAAAAAGCAATGTCTGCATTTTATAAATTAGTAAAAATATATCTTGTATTATTTTAATTTATTTATAAATATAACATTTTAAAAATACAATATATTTATAAATATATTGTATTATAAATAATAACAATAATAACGCTTTTTAAACTTTTGAAAAAAGTGACATGAAATATTTCACTTAGATATATCTTAAAATGAAATCCGTATTCTACCGAATCCATTATGTTGACATGCACATACAGCAATGTATTTAAAATAATTTGCGCGTAAACAAATGCAAAACATTCTACCGAATACGACACGATAAAATGCATTTATTTACATACATTTGTTATATCATACAAAACTCAGAATTCGTTCTAGATTCGTGCAAGTTTCAAGATATATTAAAATATGATCATACTGGCTCTAATGAAAAATGAATAATTATCAAAATTATATTAATTAAACTATAATGGAATTATGAAAATTTACTGACGATGCATATATTACGTTTGCATCTAAAATATTAAAATCAATCGTTCCGTTTAAAAAAAAAGATTAGAATATTATATTAAATTGTATAAACTCTTGATGATTCTATGAAAAAATGTAGCTAAAATAGTATATACGAGTTTACTGCATGCATTCTCTTATCTTTTTTTCTTTTTTTTTTTATTGAACAATACTTGATATTTTGGAGATATTTATCTTGCCTCTTGAAAGACCTGTCGTAGTATCACCTTTAGTCGCACAAAATTTGTTGACGAGATCGGGGTTTGGTGTCTTTAGATCATACGCCCAACCCAACCAACTCATAAAATCTATAAAGGCGGTAGTCAGATTGAGACGGTACAAGCCAAGTTCCGCGGCCTTATAGTCCCACGGGAAGCAATGATGATAATTATGCCAACCCTCGCCCATGCTAAAGAGGGACACCACAGGATTCTCCGTTGACTTAAGAGTTCTGGAACAAGAAAGAGAAAACGGGAAGTTTCACTGCTTGATCCGAGCCGGTTATACGAACGAACTTTTGCCGAAATCTCATGCAACAGATTATTTAAGCAAAATAACATCTTACAACTTTTACCTATTACGATACATAGTTGTGCAATATATATTTTGATAAATTACATTTATTTTAGGATAATGAAAAAAATTAAAATATGTGTAGATAGATCTACATTTCAGTTGTAGATTTTAAAAAATAAAAATCTCTTTAAAAAAAAAATCTTTAGATCCAAAAAATTTCAAACAATTTTTTATAATTCTTCAATTCCTTTTGTGTAAAAAAAGTATAATATTCTTTAAGAATATAATATTCTCTAAAATGAAAATCTTTGCATATATCCTTTCACAAATTATATTATATAGGTATAATAATAGGTATAAATCGTATTAAATATTAAATTGTAGAAATTATAGGCAAAATAATATTTATTATAAGATAATTTGTTAAATAAGTAATATAATTATTTAATCACAATATTGATTAAATTTTATCAAATAGTATCGGTGATTAAAATTATCATTAAAACCATTGCCTCATTTACTTTAAGAATATTTCTCGATTATACCAATTAAATTTTTATTTAATCAAAATAATTTTTATTATATCAAAATTTAAAATTTTTTATATTAAATTATAATACTTTTCTATTTATATCTAATACATGATTCGAATATTATGCTGGTCAATCTTAATGATAATCGTGTCAAATTAAAAGATTGAAGCACACCTGTCATACGGTCGACTGCCCCACATGTGAGCAAAACTGTTTACGGAGAAAGTCGAATTCAGCAATAACACGTAGCGAATAATCACAGCGCCTATGCTTATCTCCCAGGTTTCGTTCCATAGGTAAACCGGTACTATAGCCGGCAGGACAAAAGTTAATGTCAACATGATCGGCGAATAATATCTGCAATAAAAAACATTCTAACGTTAACGAATATGATGTACACGCAAAGCTTAATACGGCATCCTATTTCCTTAGAACCGCGCGACCCAAGTGCATAAATCAAAGTAAATTGCTATACAGCTGTTCCGCTCTCTGATGAGACACTTCACGCTGATTGATTACTACTTAATCTTTCTCGAGGACTAATGCGACATGCAATTTCAAACATTTCAGATAATTACAAAGCGATTTCGCGTTTAATCCAACTCAATTATCGTAATTTTTTTTAGATGTCACACTCGTTTCCTGTTCGCTTTTCACGATTCTGAATATAAATCATATAATATTATCTAGTTTTTATTCTGTTCTTAAGTTTCCTCTTTCTTCTGTTTTATTTCAAATATTATTCATTTGAATAATGCTCGAAATAAAAGAACAATGAAAGATTCATTTATTAACGTGATAAAAATTTAATATTATTATAAAAGTTTTATTTTTTTATTTTACTTATATTTTTATTGTTCTGTTTCTGTTTTTGCAAACGAAAGATTTTGATACCAAGATTTTGATATATATTAAAAATATATATATTAAAAATAATTTTCAATATTTACAAAATAACAATGAATTTAATATATTGATTTAATATATTGATAGATTTCATTAATAAATGTTTGGATGATTAGATTTTGCTGCGGATGATAATTGAAACTGATATTGGTATATGTAAATAATAAATTTAATATGTATATAACGATAAATTTAACCAATTAGATTTTTGATCGCCGCAAATTGACCACACAATAACTATTAGTTAAATGTATTTCCTAAATGTGAATATTTTATTCACCTTTTAAAGTTCAGTAAAAAAAATACATCGATTACTTCGCATACGATGAATGTTAGACTCACTTGTCGACAAAGCGTATCACAGGATCGGCAGCAATATCACTCATATCTACATTTTTACCATATTGTATGACTGCCGGATGATGCTTCATCATTAACCAGCCAACATGCGAAAAGAAAAAGCCCCGATTAGAATTATGCGGATCTGCAGATGTGTCCGTGTATCTGTGATGAGTTCGGTGAACACGAATCCATTTAGATGGATGAGTCTGCAAAATAGTAAAAATTTTGAAAATTAATAATTAGAGTTACAACAAATGATAATTTCCTAATTGTTGTAATGATATTGTTAAGAAAATAATTGTTAATTTCATAAAAAAACTAAGATTTTCAAAATTGCATCAGGTAGTTTACAATTTTCATAGTTCTTCAAAAAAACTTTGTTCAATTACTTTAAAGAGTATTAATGTAGCAAAAATATTGTTGAATCAGTAAATGTACGTAGTGAAATAAATCCATCAATTATAGAGTTTAATTATATAGTATCCTATATAGTATTAATGAGAATATAGGCAACAAGATATAATATTAGCGTATGTATTGCAATCGACGACTTCTGTTTCTAAAAAGTAAGTACCGCTCTGAAACTAATAGCTTATGACAAATGGTATGTGTTAATATCGGGTTATTACTGACTAGATAATTAGTCTGCAATATCTAAGACTAGATAATTAGTCTGTAATATCTTACCATGCCGGCCATACAGTATAAATAAGCGAGTAGTATTCTGAGTGGCAATTTGGCACTATAGCTCCTATGTGCCCAAAGACGATGAAGGCCGGCAGTTATGCCCAAACCAGCCGTATATCCGTATACAGTTGCTAAATATGAAAAATAAAATCAAAATCACATTTATCTTTATATTATTTAACATAAATTGAACATAATAAAAGAGAGACAAAGAGAGAAGAGAGAGAAAATGATGAGATCTCAAAATACTAAAACAATTTTTAATTTATAGAAATAATTGGAAATAAATAATTCTTTATGAAATAAGTTAAGATGTGTGAGTAAATAATGTAATTTTATTGTTATTGATAATTAATAAATACATACACCATATCCAGGTCCAAAGGGTCGCCTTGTGATATCGAGTAACGAACAAATAGATCGCAACGAAGTGGAGAACGGCGATACCAATGACATTGCGCCAAATTAATGGCTGCACCGCCGGTATATGCTCTTTCGGAGGTTGATCGAGGATCGAATTTCTACCATTTTTTGTTCCCGGTTGCACTGATTTTCGATTTTTATTGTCCTCATATTCGGTTATTGTCGAACTGTACATTACTGAAAACATTTGGAGTAGTATTGGCATATGGTGTATTTATTTCATTTGCGTTTACTATTGTCTAGTTATCATATGCGCGTTTATATTCTGACAAAAGATTCTAAAAACATTGCACCATCTTGAGAAATATGGCTGTGTAGTATAAATTATAGTAGCAACCAATTTATCGCATAATCTGTTCCGTCTTTTTAGATTTCAGCAAAACTTATTTTATTCTATTTATACTATATTATTCTTTATCTATATTGATTTACAAATAAATATATTAGTTTTAAAACAGATAAAAAATTATTATAAAAAGTTTCACAATTATTGTATACACAGGATTACAAAAATTGAAAATAGATAAACTGCAAACAACAAGCAAAAAGATATACACCAAGATTGCATCTACGTCGATCGCGTTCGAGGAAAATATTAAAAAGAAAAAGAAAAAGTTGTATTGTAGAAATTGAAAGTACTCACAATTTGTTTTAATACTAAAAAAGTTAAATGACAAAAATTATCGTAATTATCGTAAACGACTCAATTATGTCGCGTAACAGGTTATTTACAAAATTACACGGCAAACGAATGATCCGGATGAAAATTTCGCATCGGTCTCATTACAGGGCGATCTCGTGTTAACAAGCGCCTATTGTTGGCTGTATAATTGTCGCCTCGACGTCTCGTGTAATTATCCGCATTAGACGAGCGTCTAAATCACGGCATCGACGAACGAGACGTGTTTCCCAACTCGCGTGTACGTCAATATACGATACCGGCGTTCCGTATCGCTGCGCATTGCTTATAACGAGAGTAATTTCAGCATCTCCACGACTCTCTCGCGCGGCAAGACGAATAGCCTTCCCGCACTCCCAGATGCAAGTTCGTGGTCAAGGCAATTACACGTCACGCATTGACAACCGATTCGTTTCGCCGATGCGCATTTGGCCGAGTTTGTCGTGAAATTAAACGTGAATTATATGTGTGTATATATATATATATATATATATATATAACGTATGTACCAATATAATATTACGCTTTCGTGCTCTCAATCAGTCAACGTATACATTTATACACGATGAAAATTTTTCATACAAATCTCTTCGTAAATCTCTTCTATATATGTCTACAAAACACATCTATCTATCTTCGTTTATAAAAAAAAAATGAACATTTTACATGCATCTTGTGAATGCATCTTTAAAATTTATAATCGTTACTTGCTTTCATTGGAAAGCATTCTTGAAACTAAAAAAACTCGTGAGATTAAACCGCAACTGTTTTGATTCGCGCGACTAAACAATTAGGAAACACTTGTGGTGGACCCACTTTTGTTGAAATAAAGGTGGCTTTTTATATGGCAATGTCCAATTTCCAATATATCCAATTTCCAATTGATGCAAACTCAACCAAAAGATACAATAAAAGCGTGTGTAAAAATTTTTGCATTACGATGAAACGATTTTTTTCAATTCCCGCGATGACATATTTACATCTTGACTACAATTTTATAATTTGATGTAAGAGTTCAGTCGATGTGAGATACAATCGCTTAATACTGACATAGAAATGATGATAAATACGCCAGTAATTTCAATGGAATCATTCGAAGAACTTTCTTCGCCATAAAATCAATCCTGAATGTAATTAGAAAGCTAGTATACATCCAATATCACATTAATAATACTGATTGCATTTTCATTACAATTAACAGGCTTCATGTTTTATCAAGGTTAATAGCTTCCATAAGCAGAATCTTTTCGTCACGTGTATACATATCAACGGAATGTGTTATACATTGAGAGAAATTGCTTAAACTGCAAAAAAATGTAATTTCCGAGATGGTAATATTAATTCTTAAGGTAAAAATGGAAAATAAAGTAGATGTTGCCTTTCAGCTTTTTAGAACCAAATTTAATAATAGTAACTGTGAGTTAAAGCACCATTTTGATCACGGAGCATTTTTTTGTAAGTAACATTGTAAGAATGTTCGAATCATACTCAAATTAATGTACGAACGCGAAACTTTATTTCTTTTAAAGTAGTGCTTCTTTTTGCGCGATTTGATTCGGCTTGCGACAAATCGTTACCAAAAACTGCAGTTACGTTACTTTTCATTGACGCTGTCGATTTCGTTACGCCTCTATCGACGATATTCGCGCCTCTGATTTTGGCAAGCACCGCATCGTCATCTACGATGTAATAGCGGTCGTACTCCCCCCCCCCCTTTCCATCCCATGGCTCATTCGTAAAACGCGGTCGCATTTTCTGGTTGTTTTGTTTCCCCGCGTATAGTTCGTATAAAGACTCGTGCAATGACTTATGTTAATATGTATGAACCAACCGGGGGATATTTCTGTCAGCGTAAACGCGGATAATGCGCCGCTATCGCTGCCGCCTACGCTGCTCGGGATCGCGCGGTTTACAACCCCCTTTCCTGTAATCTCACCACGGGCTTAACGTGGCGAAAATGCACGCTAAATCGCGTTCGGTACAATGGCCAAGAA